AGAGATAGATAGACAGACAGACAGACAGACAGATAGATAGATAGATAGATATAGATAGATAGATAGATAGATAGGTAGATAGATAGATAGATAGAGAGATAGAGAGATAGATAGATAGATAGATAGATAGATAGATGGGTAGGTAGGTAGATAGCCAGAGAAAGAGAGAGAAAGAGTGAGAGAGATCAAGCACCTTTCAGTCCATCAGTGGCTTCGCTCTGCCATCCCTGATTCACAACAACCAATTTCTCCTATAGGTTTCCTATTTTTGAAACTTCCGCCACCGCCTTGTGCGGTACTACTGGTAATGGAAACTAGTCTTCCAATCCCTATCTGCCAGGGACTATGTTAATATACCAGAGGGTATATTGAGGAACCCAATGATGGATCATGACACTCCACAATATGATTAATATGTTTGGTAGTATGAACCCCAATTATCAGCCAGGGGTTTCTGAAACTGCTCTGGCAAATTGATTTCCCATCCAAAAAAAGAAGAGTTCCAGATATTATATAATCCACATCATCCCCAAAAAATAGTTCCATATGTTAATCATTATTAATATTTATTAATCCATTTAATAGATATTGATATATATATATAGATATATATCATCCCAAAATTAGAGTTCCGTACATTAATCATAATCCATCAAAATAATTCATCCACATCATCCCAAAAGAATTTTAGTTACTATACTGTGTGTATCCAATCTGGTTGGTGGTTTCAACCCCTCTGAAAAGTATGAAAGTCATCAGTTGGGATTATTCTTCCCAATCTATGGAAAGTCATAAAAATCATGTTCCAAACCACCAACCAGTAACCCATATTGATCACGAACCATCATTTACAGTACCATGTTTTTAACCATAGATATTTATATAACCTATTAAAACCACCAACCAGCTGTGTCTTCGCCCATATCGCGAAGGTCCCCGTTATAGGCACCTTCTGAAGCTGATGGATGTCGTGCATGGTCTTCCATTCGGCACTCCACTTCACACCTCGACGAGCCACTTACGAGGTCAACAACCGTGGAAAAAAAACACGTAAATTGCATTAACTCAAGATTACATGATCATATTATATGATCAATATATCATGAATAATATATATCTATATATATGAATAATGAATAAATGATGAATAAATGATGAATATATGACCAATCATGATCAATCAATATATTATTATCAATTAGAGTTTCAAATACAGATCTTCTCTGATTGATGAGACCTGAGGCACTTTTTCCATGTTACCAGTTTTGATGGTGTTTTTCACAGACTCAAGAAACGCAACCCCCAAGGCTTGAATGACCTGGAAAAGAGATACCCTATTTCCCAGCAAAGCGATGACAAAAAGCAAGAGATGTTGTGGTCCTTAGAACTAAGGCACAACTGCAATGCCTTTGCCATCGGCTTGTCACTGGGTACGGGTCATGCCATTTGACTGGGCCCATTGGTACCGCCTTGACCCCAAAAAAGCGAAAGGCCCGGTGCCAATGGGCATCATCTATCGTACTGGCTGTTTCATATCGGTTCCCATAGATGCATTAGTGGGTCATTAATGATTATCCCTGTAAAAGTAAAGGTATAGTTTACCCCCCACTTTTTAAACAAACATATATAATATATCATATATATCATATTTGGGCTTGGGCATGCTTGGGCACTGCTGCTCAACCTATTAAAATAGATCAAAGGTCCCATAAATGGCCTGGGCTCATCCCCAAATCCAACTAGTTGTGAAAACAACCCGTCGACAAAACATACTCAATGAGGGATCATCATCCTAGGTAAGGTTGAGCATACAAAAATGTTTGACCCCACCAGCCACTTAATTACTTATAACCAATCATGTGTTCTTTACTGTACCCAATCTTAGATCAATGATCTTCCCAATTTTGGTTTTGCGACATCCCCAAATATCTTAGATCAATGATATTCCCACTTTTGGATGGTTAAATAGTTAAATCATCTTATAAATCACTCAATTAAATTCCCAAACATCCCCAAAGATGATCCTTTTAGCATTTCTGGTTGGTGGTATACCTACCCCTCTGAAAAATATGAAAGTCAGTTGGGAAGGATTATCCCATATATTATGGAAAAATAAAAAAACAATGTTTCAAACCACCAACCAGATTTTGAAGCTATCGATTGGACCAGATCTCCCGGCAACCGAGGCGCTGAAAGGCGTCGCCACGTCTGTGCCACCACCGCCCTGGTCCGGGTCAGGAGGCTCATCGTCGCGACCCTCGAAACTCCTTGGAGGTCCCAATAGGTCCCAACAAAAATGGTGGGTTTCCAACAGACACATGGTAACATGGTGGTTTTTGTAGGGATCTAGTGGGGATCAAGCTCAACTTTCATGGAATTAGACCAATCAAAATGGATCAAAATGGATCAAAATGGAAGGTGAAGTCACAAAAGAGAGAGTTTGGGGACAGAACAATTGAGAATCTATCCACAAAACGTATGGTTTTAGCTTGATGGGTAAAGTCTGTCCAACCGAGTTTGTGTGTCCCTCCTGGGATTTTTGGACCCACGTGTTTGGTGCGCTTTCGCACTTTTTTCGGCACTTTTGTGAAGTCCTCAGGCAAGACCCACAATATTAGAAGTACTGGTTTCCATAGTATTCGCGAGCATGGTTCTCCAGCCAGTTCAAGTCGCAGCGGGGTTCACAAGGTCCTCTGCAGAGAACTCGTTGATCCATGATGGAGTGCTTCAATGTCCATCCCTGCTTCATCAGCTGGTCCACCACTTTCTCTTCTTTCGTATGTTTATGGTTCTTCTTTTTCACAAAGGCACTGGGATGGACTTCCACAATAATCATCGTGAGAGTCTTCAACAAATCGGGATTCTCCTGTTGAGGCAAATCGAGTCTTTGAAACATGGACAAGAAACGGGGAGTGTCTAGAAAATGGAGGATTTATCTCCAAAGTATGACCATCTTGATTAGGATGATGATCAAGCAGCGTGGGTATAGCCTCCCGTATTTTCAGACAAACCCAAATTTGGGAAAGAATGTCAAAAGCATAACAACCAACCCAGTCCGACTGGAATTTCACATCTGAATCATTAACAATGCTTGACAGACATGCTGTGTCATCTCACCGCTTCTCCTTCAAAAAGGTCTTGAAACATCCCTCGCAATCGATGGCCAAAGTGTCAAAGGTCACATTGAGAGACTTCACGGAGTGTGCTGGGACCACGACTCCGGGGCGTGGGTCATTGGCGTTGGAGGTGAAAGCACTATAGCCTGTTGCGTTTCGATCCCTCTTCATCCAAGTTGGAGTGACCAATTTGAAGCTCTTGGAGCCGACGGTTCCCCGCACCACTTGAGCATTGCAGCCCTTCTTCGCCAAATTGCCTTCCAAGACGTCCCAGATGTGTGGATCCGCGTCGGACGAAACCAACTTGGCGCCGGAAGTCTGCTTCGAGTCTGTGTCGAGGCTATTGAACTTTACCGTTCCAGCTTCCTACGTTGCGCCCGACACCCCAAAAACTGCGGGGGGAAGAGGGTAAACGAAGAGGGTAACTCATCAATTTTACTAGTGCCAATAGCCTGGATGGAATATCCTAAAATCCCAAAACAACATGGCTTCTATTGAACTTTACATTTCTTAACCCCTCACATCTTCAACCAGCCCTGTCCTCTTCGTCCAAACCCAGGACTTTGGACAACATGCAGGTGGCATGGCCATAGCGCGCTCCAACCTCCAAGACCTTGGCGCCGGGCCTCACCCAGGTGGCATAGACCATGCGCGAGGCATGCTCCACCTCGCAGTGGAACTGGGCTTTCGGCTCCGTCTCGAAGTCACAGTCTTCGTTCTGACCGTTGAAACAAAACGGAGGATGTTGACTCGTTGACCCAAAATTGAAAAGGGGAGGGGAATGGAAGGGGGATAACCAACGAGATCCCAAAGTTGGTAAAAGATCTCCAACCAAAAATTGGAATTTAAGCAGCAAAAAATGGACATGTGAACAGAAAAATGAAATTTGACCACCAAGAAATGGGGATATGATCAATAAAACATGGGAATATATGGGAATATATGATGATGTTTTTCTATGTTTTCTACTTTATGATGAAATTGTCTCGGGCACAGGGTTTTAAGTTTCCATAGTTTTCCCTAATGTCCTCCAATAATGCAGCACAATTGCGCAATGTCGATGTTGATTCATCGGTGGTGATTTTGCCCTGAGTCTGAAGCATCGCGGCACCGTCGCAAGTCTCACAGTCTTCGCCTGCGGCCATGGTGGCCATGGCAACCAAAAGTGCACAGACCCGCGCCATGGAAGCGGAGTCAGGGGCGTAAATGTATTTCAGGTCTCGAGAGCTGAAAAATAGGAGCTGCTGCCCGGGATTTCTCGACAGGTCGCATTCATGGTGACACGTGATCCGAAATCGCATGGCAAAAAGTCTGGCAGTGGCATGACAGCTTTTGCGACTGAGCGGTGTCTGGCGTTACATTTTTTTTGATCTGTGATTCTGTGTGCGTTTTTGTTTATGTTACAATTGGGTGTGGAAATCAGCTCCAAAATGCCGTGGTGAATCATGGTTGGCTATCCCCCTTCCCCCGCCAAGTTGCCCCGGCAGGAAATGAGCGCCCCTGGGATGGAAAAAGTCGCCATAGGATCGCCGAAAATGGATTCGCAAATTGATTCACCAATGGAAAATCTGGAAAAATCAATGGAAAATCAATGGAAAATCATGGAACATCTGCGAAGATGATGATTCTTGGAATGATTCTTGGAATGATTCTTGGAATGATTCTGGAAAAATATTACTGCGAACATGACGATTCACTGATTTTTTTCAGCGCTGGAGTATTACCAAACTAGTTGATAAATGTTGATAACCCCATCGTGAGATGCCTATGGTAGGACCTTGTTGGTGAGCTTTCTTTCCAGCTATGGCAGCTATGGCAGCTATGGTCACTGCATGATCCCCTGTGATCATATGTGATCAATGGTGTCAAACCAGGCGAGATCGGCCATGGCTTGGTGACTCAACGCTTTAAACATGTGTTTCGTTAAAGATTAAACGATGTTTAAACCAAAAATGTAACTAATCCAATGCGGAGCAGTAGGGTACCCAAACGTGAATTCCAAGCGATTCTGAATCCAACCGCCTGGGATCATGCGCACTTGCAGAATGATAGTGACATCACCCTGGTGCTTCTGTTTCGCTCTTCTGTTCTTATTTCCTCCATCACTCACTTGGGACATGTTCAAACAAAAACACAACACATATTATGTTTAAACGTTTAAACGTTTTGGTGGTCATTGCTCTAAACATGTTTAAACGATTTAACAATGAAACATGTTTGGACACACTCTGGATCAACCCATCCCAACATCATTCCGCAGAGTGCAAGTTTTCAACCAACAACAGTAGTCATCTTTGATCTGACAATATGAACATATTTTATCCATTCATATCCCACACTTGTCCAATCAACTTCTGGCCGGGTCACGTTCTACAGCTGTGCGGGGCACATAGAAAATCCTCAGCACGTCTGGAGGCAACCAAGCAGCAGGTTGGATGTGCATTGGATCTAATCAGACGTCGTCTCAACTTGAGTTTCTTCTGACAACTTTGGGGCTGATTGACCAACTTTGATTAATAGTGATTAATAGTGATTAATAGTGATCACTATTAATAACTTTTGAATCACATTCTCTCTGATTGACCAACTTTGGGGCTGATGTGCTTTTCAATATGCCTATATATGCCTATGCTTTTCCACCGGAGAGCCACGTTTCCTGCCAGGTCTGATGGTTCTTCGTTTCGTGGGTTTGCATGTTTCGGGGGAACTCCGTACAACTCCGTACAATTGTCAAATTAACAATAAAGTATGAACCAAACAGCCCTGCTGCCGGCAGGAACATGCAAGATGGGTTTGTCATGGGTTGTCTAAAATGTTGAAAGATCATTGATGATCATTGGAAAAACCCTAAATCCATCTAAATCCAGCGTTTAATTTAATCATCATTTCTGAACCAACATTGTCATAAGTTGATGGTACATCACCCATTTTCAGACCCAGATCATACCCTGCAGTCCGAGGAGCACTCCATGCGTCATGCACTGCATCGTCTGTCTCCAGCGGCCAGTGGGGTTGAAGCAACACGTGTGCCAAAGCGCCCCATTGGATCTGAAAATACAGGTTCTGCGTGTTGAAGCTGTTCGTCGAACTCCCAAAAAAAGGAGGTGTCTTTTTTGGAAAAGTTGTGTGTCATTCCGAGAATGACTTCTAGGTCCTAGGTGCTGGAAGCGCTTCCAGGTCATAAATCGAAGTGGTTGCCACTGGCATAGGCAGACTGTGATGCTGCTTCCAGCTGAACATCTGGGTGCCATGAAATCACCTTCTTCAAAGGCTCATCAAACCACTTAAGATTGACCTCTTGAGCCGCACAAAGAGCCGGATGATCCGACGGCACACATGGTGCGACCCAGGACATCAGCGATTCTGTGCCAAGGTACCATTCACCATCTCTGCGCACCTCAATGGCAAATCAGCCGCTGAGCCACACTGTTCTTCAGCTCAAAGAATCAAAGAAAATGCACAGAAAGTTAGTCATACATGTTTTTGTTTCCTGGACTTCCATTTTGACTCCCAATTTTGCGGGGTTGGCTTTTCTGGTGGATGTGTTCACTGATTTCAATGGAAAAATGGGAAAAAAAACCCTCCGCCTGTGGTGGCATGCACCCCAGGGCATTGCCGGAGTAGTTGGTCAGGCAGCTCGAAATCTGACGGCGCTTGGTATGCTTGGTGCGGGAGTTGGGACTACAGGTCCTCAAGTGTGACCAACAAAATGTTGGTTGGTGGTTTTAACCATCTTGAAAAATATGAAAGTCAATGGGAATGATTATCCAATATATGGAATGGAAAATAAAATTCATGTTTGAAACCACCAACCAGAAATGAGTGGATTTACAACTAACAATCTCTGCCAAAAATATTCTGACCAACAATATCTGCCAAAAAATAGGCTACCTTTTCTGCCTCAGACCTGGACTTGTGAAATTTCGCAATTCAGCATCACTATCGGTGCGGCGAACGATGATAGCATTCAATGGCATGATGTAGGAAATTTGAAGGAATCCACTGTTTTTTATGTCTTCACCATGAAATGTAACGGTTTCACCATTGATTTTTGCTGACACCAGGCAATGTGCCCTGAGATTTGAATCCATATCACACTCATCATTGATATAATTGTTGATGTGTATATAATATATATCACATCATCATAAAGTGTATCAAAAAGACATTATAATAGTTACTTAGCTATATAAACAACTGGCATAAACGATTGGTTTCTATCATGTACCCCTCATCCTTACTTTATCCCTCCCTGAGAGCCCGCCATGTCGGGATCCACTCCAGTCATCTGGCAGCGAGGCGACCGCACCGGGGCTTCAACAGCTAAAGATGCTGGGGAATTTGCACCATGATTTACACCATATATATATACAAAGAAACGTGTATATACATATGATCATATGTACATATATATATATGTATATAATTGTATATATGTATATATTTATGTGTATAGTATATATATATATATATGTGACATATGTATATATAAGGCTCGTCCCGCTTCTGGATACCTACACATGGCGTGGGGTGGGGGTGGGGGGTGCGGGGTGGATGTCTTAATTAACTGTTCAATGCCGTAGACCGTGCGGCAGATGTTTTAACTTCATGTACTTGCGGCAGCCAGGGATGCTCTTCACATGCGGGGGTGGGGGGGGGTGGGTGGAATGTTTATAAAGCGTTCCAATAGTACCTTTGCGCAGGATGTTAACGTTTCATGAACCCCGCGCAAACCTGAATTAGGTTGGTAAACTTGTCCACTCCCTCCTGACGAAATTTTCGTCCGCGCGAATTAACAAGTTTCATTAGGGTCATTATCATCATCATCATTATGATGATGATGATGATGAAGATGATGATGATGATGATAATGATGATGATGATGATGATAATGACCCTAATGAAACTTGTTAATTCCGCGACGAAATTTCGTCACGGAATGGACAAGTTTTACCAACCTAATTCAGGTTTGCGCGGTTCCAGAAGCGGGGACGAGGCTATATATACATATCCATATGTGTATCTGTATTTGCGAGTGTATGTATATGTGTATATATATATACACCTACTGAAACATTTACCTACTTTTTTGTTGGGGTGAAACAGAAAAATGTATCTATGTTTCATCTGGATTAAAAAAATATATATATATTAAAAAAACAGATGTTTTGTTTCATATCCCCTATATCCAGACTATTTGGAAGGTTTTAGTTGGGAATTTAACACGTTGCATGCATTTCACTTGGCAACCCCTGGTCCAAAGTGGTGTCCCTGTGAAGAACCGAACCATGACCAATTATAAGTCAATGGGGATGGGAGTGGCGCAATGGGAAACCGCCACAAGGGTGCTCTTACAAGCAACTTCATGCAGTGGCTGCTTGATCTTTTGGCAAAAGTGCGTCCTGACCCTGATGGCTTGTTGAGACAATGTCGCATGGTGACATACCGGTTGAACTTCAATGTTCAGTGTGCTGTACAAGGCGGGTGCTTTCCTGACAGAGGAGGAGTGTTCATTTATTTCAACGCAGGGTCTAGAGTTTTTGCGGTGTTACGCTTCCTTAGCTGAAGTGATGTTCAGAGCTACAAAGCACTGGTGCTTCCCCTTGTACCCCAAGCTCCATATTTTCCACCACATTATGCTGGAGGTGAAATTCAAAGGGGAAAGTGCACATACATGTTGCAATCCAATGATGTTTGGAACTCAAATGGATGAAGATGTAGTGGGAGAGACTTCCAGCCTCTCAAGGCGGGTAAATATTAGAAAAACATAGAAAGACCAGCTTACGGGTTCTTCAACGGTATTTAGTTGCAGCATATGCTGCCTTCTCGAAGGCGAAGTTGCTTGGCTAGGAAAAAAAGGTGGTGTTAGCTGGGTTCAGAAGGATTTGGCTCCATGCCATTGGCTGTTGGAGCAACTAGGTATCGTGGGTGATGCCTGGCCATGAATGGAATCAACGATCTTCTTTTTCTGGGTGCAAGTTAAATCTACTTATGGGCCCAAAACCTAAAACCGTTTTTTTAACTATGTTTTTTCCCTGCACTACGTAACCAGAAAAAAGAAGGTATTTGATTCCGATGGTATATATATATATAATTATATGTCTGTATACCATGCAAGTGTGTGTTTAATTATAGTAATATAGTATAATATAGT